ATGTCAAGAATGCCAGGTGCTCTGGGTTAGGGAGATGGCTCTGTCTGTAATATGCTTGCGGAGCAATCGTGAGGAGCTGAGTTGCTATGCCTAGTACCATGTAAAAAGAACCTGTACCCCAGCACTGGGGACATGGAGATGGCGGGATCCCTGGAGCTCATTGACCTGCCTGTAAAGCCAAACTGATGAACTTCAGGTTCAGTGGGAGACCCTGTCTCCAAAGAGAAGGTAGAGAATGGTCAAGGAAGTCATCTGACTTTCACATACTCATGCACACACCATGTGCACATGCTTATGCACACACACCACACACACATATCACACACACACACACACACACACACACACACACACACACACACACCAAATGGAGCATGCTCTTACATCCTAGGAACCTCTTTTATCTCTGCAAATTTGGAAGACAATTTTCTTGTCGGTATTCGTCTGGCTATGACTATTTCAAGTTTCCAATAAACAACAGAGGAACCTGGGATCAGGTAGGAGCAGTCACCTGCCCAGCTCTGGAAAGGAATAAAAGAGTGTGTCAAAATTTAATTATGAATTGTATGATGATGAGTACTGTTCTTTGATTGGTACTGTCATTATTTTTATAATCTGGAGGCTTACCAGCATAATCTCACAGGACCCTCACAGCCCTCCTGGAAAAGGGTGGGAGGTGATACTTGTTAATAGCACTATTTAAACAGCCAAGTTAAATAGCTTGCCTAGGAACCTGGTACTGTTCACCACTGAATGGCCTTCCTGGGGTTTCTCTGTTCTAACAATGCAAGGTGGGGACTCCTGGTTATCTGAGCTGAACCTGACTCAGCTGGCACCTGCATCCCTTATCATGAGGGATGTTCAAGGATGCTCTGAGACACTTCTGCTTTATAAATGTGGGGGCGGCAGCAAATTAGTTTCATTGCTATGTCCAAAGTAACCCACTGGTGAGGGAGAGAATAAGAATGTGGCCCAGGTCTGTGGACTCAGTAGCCACTCCCAGTGCAGTCTACTTTGCCCTTTAGTGATGAACTCCACCCTGGGCCCGAAGCTTTTGGAGGAAAAAGTCATCCTTGCTCACCTTTGTCATCTCAGTTCTAAGCACTGGGACTCTGGCAGGAAGGGCTGTTAAGGACTGAGGAGTGAAAAAAGAGAGGGAGAAGGGAAGGGGGAGAGCAAGAAAGGAGAGAGATAGAGACCCAAAGAAGGGGTACAGAGAGAGACACAGAGAGTAAGAAAAGAAAAGAAGAGAGGAAGGGAGGGGAGAGTAGAGAAGAGGAAAGAAGAGGAGAGGAGAGGAGGGGAGGGGAGGGGAGGGGAGGGAAGGGAAGGGAAGGGGAGGGGACGAGAGGAGAGGAGAGGAGAGGAGAGGAGAGGAGAGGAGAGGAGAAGAGAGGAGAAAGAAGAAGAGTCAGGAGCCAGTCTCTGTTTGATGTTTTAGATCAAGTTCTCCAATGACACAGAAAGGCGGCCATGGCTGCTCCCAGTTGCTGCATGAGTGAATGTGTAAGTGGCACCACAGATTCTTATTCTGCTTTGAAAACTGGGAGACATCCTGACAAGCAGTCGGTGCTGTGGTCCAATCAGATCACTGAGTTGCATTTACCTAAATCTTCAGACTTCAAAGGAGCTGGAGTTACCATGTATCCAGCGCCTTGAAGAGTTACTGTGTATCCAGCGCCTTGAAGAGTTACTGTGTATCCAGCGCCTTGAAGAGTTACTGTGTATCCAGCACCTTGAAGAGTTACTGTGTATCCAGCACCTTGAAGAGTTACTGTGTATCCAGCACCTTGAAATTACTATGTATCTATCACTTTGAAGAGTTGCTGTGTATTCAGCCCCGTGGACTTTTACAGCCTCTAGGGATGCAGGAGGGGTGGGAGTATCCCCTGGATTCAGAGAAGGGGCTGATAGCTGTATGCCTATAATTACTCTTCAATTGTCACCAAAAAAAAGGAACAACTTACCTCAACTCCTCTCCTCTGGTTTTTCAGTTCCCCACTAATCCCCACTGCCCCTGTAATCATAAATGCAACAACAAGCCTCAGGGATAGAATAGCCTTGACTCAAAAATGTCAACCTCTCAAGGAAACTGTAGTGGAGCTAAAGGGTCCACTCAGATATCTCATGGATAGAAGAGAGAGATTTAGGGTATTTAATCAGATGAAAAAGCAGGAGGAAGTGAGTACTGACCAATCAGAGAAATATCAGCCACAAGCACTCCACTGTTAAGATCTCTCTATAGGACAAAAGTGTTAGACCAGTGCGCACCAAACATGGGTCGTCGGTAAAGACACCATGATGCTTCCAGAGAATTTGTCCTAATGATTTCTAACCAGCTGGAGCTCAGATAGAGCAAAGCCCCAGTCCCTGCCATGCCCTTATGGCTTAGCCATATGAACATCCCTGAACGCTGGTGAGATGCCCTTTCCCCAAGGCCACATCTAACCCCTTTCACTCCGTGAAAATCCCAGGGTGTTGGCAAGGCCCTCCCAGCAGACTCATCCCCTTAGCATGTGAGAGATTTCCAAACTATTTTGACAGATGAAATTGCAGATAATTAGCTTGGCTCTGCCAACTTGAAATTACTGAGGATGATTTCTGTGGCTGTGTACTTGGGTTTCTGAGAGACAATCTAAAACCGAGAAACAGGCCAGCATTATCCTCATCTTACCCCTCCAACACATCCTTACAAGTGTGGAAGAAAACTCTGGTCATAAACCTCCATGATAAAGACAGGGGAAATATGCCCCTCCATTAAAACTAGGCAGCCTGAATCTGCTCAAGGCAGCAAGATTGAAAAATTGTCCTTGCTTATATGCCTCGGCGTACGCCTGTAAGAACGCGATGTGAGAATCCAGCTGCTGTTCAGGCGACAACACCTGCAGCCTCCTTTCATAGACAGCCACAGCCGCAGACGCTGTGAATCCCTGGCTCCCAGACAGCGCCAGGATCTCTCTCCTGAGAAGTAAGTTTACATCAAAGGAGATATCGGTGGCCACACACCCCGCTCTTCCCCTGCTTCTGATGTGGGAATCAGGGAGTCTGGCTACAGACTTGTGAGCCTTCCCTAGCCTCAGAAAGGTACACAAACAAACCCCACTTCTGCCATATGGGCCAGAATCTCTCTCCTCAGAGTCCCTGCCATGCTATCTGGCACTGGAGCCTGATCTCTCCATCAAGCTGTTGTCAGTCTGTCTGTCAGCTTGTAGTGTTACTCCCTCTATTGATGGACTCCTTACCCGCAACGGTCCGTCTCAGCACCGGTCTTGAACCCCTCCCAGAGACCTTTCACATCCATCATTGTAGCCAGATGGCATCTTCTCAGCCCTGCGGATCCCTTCTGACTCGGAAACAGATGGGCATCCACAGGGTAAAGTGGAGTCTGTGGATGGTCCTGTCTCCATCTCTGCTCTGTTAGTGACTTCTGGGATGAGGAGCTGTGGAAGTCTGCTTCTTTGGCTAGCAACTGCAGTCAATGTACTCATTGATATCAAAGCAGATTGACAGCTGTCATGACTTCCATCACTCTTCCCTGAGTCAACTCTCTTTATCTTTTGACAATGTTTCTTCTGTGAAGGTGAAGGGTATTCCCTCTCCTCGGGTATCCTAGTCAGCCCAGTGCCTCTAACAAATACTGCACACTGGGAAACCTCAACACGAAACATTGCTTTCTTTCTTAATCTAACTTTATTGTTCTGGGTGGTCAGGTGGAGGTCAGAAGATGGAGGCCTTTTCTCTCATCCTACATCACAATCCATGTGAGTTCTGGGGACCTAACTCGAGTCATGAGGCCTGGCAGTAAGGACTTTATCTACCGAGCCATCTCACCAGCGCCAACAGACATTCTGTCTCACCGTTCTGGAAGCAGGGAGTCTGAGATCATTGTGGAGACATGACAGGGTTTCTAGGAATGACCTGCCTTGCACATGGCTGCTATCCTAGTTAGTCATGGTTACTACCACTGTGAAGAGACACCATGATCAAAGTCACATGGTGAGGAGAGGGTTTGTTTGACTTATGCTTCCACGTCACCGTTCTTCATCAAAGAGACTCAAATAGGACAGGCACCAGGAGGCAGGAACTGAAGCAGAGGCCATAGATGGGGGCCGTTTGCTACCTTGCTCCCCATGGCTTGCTCTGTCTGCTTCCTTATAGAACTCAGGACCACTATCCTTGGCCCCATCCGCAATGGGCCTGACCCTCCCCTATCAATCACTAATTAAAAAAATACTCTACAGGCTTGCCTACAGTCCTGTCTTCTGGAGGCATTTTCTCAATTGAGCTTCCCTCCTATCTTGATGGCACTAGGTTGTGTCAAGCTGACATAAAATTAGCCAGCACAGCTACCTACTTGCTGTCTGCACATGGGAGGGAAGAAGGAGGGAGTGGGAGAGAACACACTGTCTCTTCCTCTCATGACAACATGATGGTGGTCCATATTGTTCATCTGATAGGATCGAAAGTGACCTAGGCAACAAGTCTTGTTGACAGGCCTGTGAGGGATTCTCTGGTTGAGTTAGGAAGACCCACCTTGAAGGTGTCACTCTGCCTTCCACACCACGGTGCATCCTTGAACTCCCTGCCAAAACAAACCCTTCCTTCTTAAGGTTGCTTTGGTCAGGTATTATTTTTGTCACAGCAATAAGGCAAGTAACTAACATAGACACTAACCCTACCATGAAGGCATCACCATCTTACCCTCGTCTAAACTTACTAGCGCCCCCAGAACCCGATCTCCAAACACTGCTCCTGTGTTGTGTGATAACCACTAGACCGACAGAAAGGCTTTACTCACCATTAGTGGGCTACACAGGAAACTTGACCAAACTGTGTAGCCAAGAGCCTTACCATTCTTGGCTTTTTATGCACACACAAAAAAGTATCCTGGTTGACACACTTCAATTAGTAATAACTGTTAGTAATAAGTAAAGTTAGGGAACTCCAAAAGCAAGGTTAGTACAGTTAGGGGCTTTCCCAGAACTATGGACTATGATGGATCAGGTCTTTGTTTTCATTTTCGCTGGTGTTGGAGTCAACATGCTAGCCTCTTAGGCCAGAATGGTGCCTTGGTGTCTCTAACATGGCAATGGTTGTGCTATTTGACTGCATAACTAGGTTTAATACATTAATTTGGAAGGAGGTGACACACACAATTAGTCCATAATGTCACATGATCCATTTTGACCAATAGGATGGGACAGAAATGACGGTTGCACATTCTGGGTTGGCCCTTTAGGATCTCAGTTAGTTGTTCTTGCTTCTTGCACTGCAGAAGGATGAGCGACCTAAGCAGCCACATTGCTGCAACTGAGGTGCCGAGCCATTTCCAGTCTGGAACAGTCCCAAGCTGGCCCATAGACGTGCAGATGAGCAGAGCTAAGGACCGACAAGGCTGGTCTGTACCAGTTGACCTCTAGCCGCCCAGCAAATGCACAAGCTCTTCAATCAGTGACTCTTTTTAATCAGATCCTTCATGGCTACTGGATAGTCATCAGGGTTCACATTTCTTCCTAGAGAGAATGGAGAGAGGGAGTGGGCAATGAGATAGATGTCTGATCAGATAAAAGTGCGTGTCTCTAATTCTCAGGAACTGAGGTCTTTACTCAGATAAAAGGACATCTTCTGCTCGTGGAATTGTCCTCTGACCCACACACATGTGAGGTGGTGGTGGTGCGCACACGTTCATGCCACATATGCACACATGCACTAAATAAGTAAATAAATAAATGTAATTTTAAGTTTTTAAAGAAAAGCAAGGAATGGGGTTGTGGAGATGTCATTTTTGTCTAAATCTTAATTATTGGATTTTGCGGATAAAGGTCATAGAAGCCAGATGCTGGGGTAAAAGCTTGCTAGATCAGAGAAGCAGAGAGAGGACCCTGCTATCCTTCCTCCTCCACTAGGAACCAGGAGAACCAGGAAGAAGGAAACTGTCTTGTCGAAGAGTAACATGAAGCGAATTAGTTGGGAAATCCCACCATGGGTGAAGGTTAAGCTTGCCAAGCTGGGCCTTATGTGGTGGTCCTGCTTGTGCTTGAAATGCCCCACAGATCACAGAGCTGTGTTGTAGGAGCTCGACCATTTTAACCAGTGACATTTGGAAGTGACCTGCCATGAGCCTGATTTTCTCTGGTGCATGCTGGGTAAGAACTGAGGCCATTTGGGGGGTTGTCCTCTCTCTCCCTCTCTCTGTCTCTCTCTGTCTGTCTCTGTCTCTCTCTCTCTCTCTCTCTCTCTCTCTCTCTCTCTCTCTCTCTCTCTTTCTCTGGGATGTGGAAGGCTTCTGATGTGCCATTCGGGACCTGTTCTGGAGATTTCTCCATCCTTCCATGGTGGACAAAGAGGCAACGGTGTCATTCCCCACTGTATCTGTGAGTGTGTGTGTACCCTATTTCATCCCTTAGTAAATAAGTTTTCTTCCCAAGCATCTGTGGGTTTCTTGCAATAGAGGCATGGGACTATAACCATCCTTTGATAATCCTCTTTCCAGTCTCTCCATTCAAGCAAGTTTTGTGTCCAGGTATCCGCATTCTATTACGTAAGTAGCCTGAGGTCACAGAGGCAGGTGCCAGGGTGGGCCCAGCACCTCGCTCTCAGCCTCTGAGGTAGCCCTTCCCTACCACTCTCCACTGAGCTGAGGTGGTACAGGTAACTGGATAGGCTGCACCCTTGACTGTAACCTGTATGATAATTGTTTGTGCTCAAAACAACAAACCTCTGTAAGCCTGGAAGTAATTTCTTTGGTCCATTTAATCCTCCATAAACGTTGCCTAGCTGCAGTCTCCCAGACCCGGCCTCTGCTGCACAACTCCCCTCTCCCCATCCCAGTTGTAGCCCATGCAACAGCGTCTCTTGCAGCTCCTTCCAGATGTAGTTATCTCCCAAGAATTAACATCAGAAATCAGTTAAAAATAAAAGTCCTTTCCCCCTCCCGTTCACGCTATTTCTGTCTGCCTTGGGTGTGTGCGGTTGTGATGTGATGAGTGCAGCATTCCTGCTGTTGAGGAAGTCACGTGACAAATCCATAAGAGAAAGGCAAACTAGTGTGCAAACCCTGAGGGGTCAGTTTGCACCCGAACAGTGAAATACAGATGCTGCAGGTATGTCCAAGTGCATTGGTTCAAGGCTGCCTGAGAGAGTGAGGGTGATAAAGGCCCCAGGATGGTAAGGGGTACGGGAAAGGGGGTCAGGCAAGGTCAAGGAGGCTACAGCTTTTGGATGAGACTTGAATTCCTGAGAAATTTTCAAAGTAAGGCTGGAGAGAAGATTCCAGGTAGAGAAAATGGTATAAGCCTGAATTGTGTCAAAGGTGCCTTCCCCCTTTGTTTGCCTATTTCTCTATTTTCTTTGTGTGTGTGTGTGCGCGCACACACACACAGGGAGTGTTAGTGGAGGTCAAAGGACAGCCTGTGGGTGTTGGTTCTTTCTTCACCAAGTGAGTCTCGGGGATCAAACTCAGATCATCAGTCTTGGTGGTAGGCATGCTTACCCACGTATCCCTCTTCCTGGCCCCCCAAAGTGGCTTTTATCAAAACTTCCAATAGGCAGATCCCATACTTTCCTTATGCAAAATTTTCTAAAGAAACCCAAAATGGGAATCAATTTTAGTAGGGTCCTGGTAGGACCTTATCGTTCGAGGCCATTCTCACCTCATTCTTGCTTCTGGGACGTGGTGAACTCTTAAATAAAGTGGTCTGGTAAGATGAATCCAAGAGCTTGATGAAGCCAATGGTTTGTGACTAACGAGTTTCATCCTCCAAAGGCTAGGATGGTGTCACTCAACATGCCAAAGGAAGGAAAATCAAAAGGAAAATGGTCACATGATGTGTTCTGTAGCTCTTGAGAGACTGGTCAATAAACTTCAGTATTTATTCCAAACCTAAGAGAAAAGAAAGGAAGACAGAAGGCAGAAAGAAAGAAAGTTCTTATTAAGTGGAGATCAGAACTAAGAAAAAGAGCGATACTGGATGGTAAATATGATAGTATTCCAAAGACTTTCAAAAATTTGCACCTGCCATTCCACCTATTATTTAGCATGATGTTTGTAGTCTTTGTGTTCTTAAGAATGTAGTGGTGTTTCATTTGTCTTTTAATAACTAAAGCTTTCCTGAAGATCTTAGAGTAAAACAGCCACACTGGTCAGCCTTACAGACCAGGTAGTGGTAACAACACCTTTAATCCCCACACACACACTAGTTGCCATAGAAACTGGTCGGTGCATGTCTTTAATCCCAGTGGTGCACACCTTTAATCCCAGCCCTAGAGAGGATTGTAAAACAGGAGGAGACAGCTCTCAGGCACAGTCTCATTCTGAGATTCCTGGAGGCAGGACTGACATTTCGAATTGAGGTTGAGGTAAGAGTCAGTGGCTGGCTACTTTGCTCTTTGGGTCTTCAGGTTGAAGCCCAATTTCTCTCCCTGAGTTTTTATAAATTGTGCTTCATTTTGACCCCTAATTTTTGTGACATGAATTCATGAAAAATAAGAAGGAGACGGAAACAGCACCCTTAGTATCTGTGAAAACTAGGATCATCTATATTAAAACCCAAGGAGAGCTGTACATAAAAACTTAGCACTTAAAAGAGAACTCAAAAAATATATGGGCACAAGATCCACAGTTTAAAAGAAGAGATCTATAGCCTTCTTCTATAGGCAGGAAAATATATTAGGAAATAGAAAATCAAATAAGAAAGCTGCTATTGGTGTGTGTGCCTTCTGCCTTCTCTGTGCTGCCACTGTGTCGCAGGTGTGCCAGTTGTGGGGTTCCCCCTGGAGTCATTCGGGTTTTTTATGTACAGAACCGTATCATCTGGAAACAAGGAGACTTTGGCTTCTCCCTCCTCTATTTCTATCCCTTCATCTCCTCTTGTCTTACTGTAACAGCTGAGACCTCAAGCAGTGCATTGAACAGGAGAGAGTGGGAACTCTTGCCTTGTTCCTGATTTTAGTGGGAGGGCTTTGATTTTTTCCCCCTGCATTCTTGAATGTCCAACTCTGTATGAACCCAAAGAGTGGGCATGTGTGCTAAGAGCCAGCAGTTCCCCTGAGGGTCCTGGACTCCAAGACGTCTCCCCCATGCTCATAAGGGGTTGTGCTTTGTGGAGAGATGTTCCCGGTGCTGTCCTTTAATCTGGGAAGGAACACAATTTCAATGTCTGTAAAATACCCCTATGTCTAAGCTACATTATTTCGTTAAGGGGAAAAGCTACTGAAAATTCTCCAAAGCATGACAGTGAATGACAGCAACCTAGACAATCACAGAATAAAACACGGGTAAAAAAAAAATGCACTGCCCTTGGCATGTTTGCTGATAAAAAGAAAGAAAGAAAGCTTTCTTTTTAGGTGAAGCTGAAGTGAAGAACACTCCGTACATCCCCCCAAAAGTCATAGCTACCTGAGTTCCTTCGTCCCACAGCTGAGACGAGCATGAAACAAATACAACAAACCCTCACCAAGAGCCCAACGCTCTGCTGTGTGCCTTGCATTTCTCTGTTGCATTAAGGGAGCTAAGAAACACCGTGTGCGCGGTAGATGCGGTGGCTGGCAGTTATGTGGATAAACCTGCCTCCTGAATACAGAAAAGACGAAATGTGTTCAGCTCAGAACTCTGCATAGACATCTCAGTGCAGCTCCAGGCCGAGTGTTGTCATAACAACAAATGGTGATGTGAAATGTAGATTCTTCCTTTCTCCTGATTGGAACCCTGGAGGGCTGTGGGGTGCTTTGTATCGGGGATGAGCCTGTTAAAGTTCAGATGTGATCTCAGACATCAGTCGTGTGCCTCGCAGGAAAGAGAATGTATGATGTATGAAGCCTCCAAGCTGAGCGTCCTGTAAGATTTTAGGGATGCTTGTCCATTCTGGTTATAAAGTTTTCACACTTAAAAATCCCCTCTGCATCTAGTAGTCATGTAATAGTACCTTCCTGCTGTACTGGGGAAGCAGCAGGCTAACGGCAATGCAGGTGGCGCAGGCTCACTAGTTCAGCGGGTAGCTTCACCACTCCCTAGGCTTACATTGTTTCGGCAAGTATAGAACCAATGAGGTGTGTGCATGTCAAGGAAGGAAGTACCTAAGCATGTGTATATATACAGGTGTGTGTGTGTGTGTGTGTGTGTGTGTGTGTGTGTGTGTGTGGATCAAAAACATTCTTTGTTCATTTTTCTGTTGATTGGTTGGCTTGTTGGTTTCTTTTTTTGAGACAGAGCCTTAGGGTCTCACTGTAGACCGGCCTGGAAATAACAGCAATCTTCTTGCCTCGGACTCCCAAGTACTAAGGAAAGAGGTTGGAGGTGTGCAGACATACATACATACATGGGCACACATGTTTAGGGCCAAGCTCAACCTAAAATGTCATTTCTATAATGCCACCATTCTTGTTTTATGAGACAGTTTTTCTCATTGACCAGAAGCTTTCCAATTATGGGATACTGATTAGTCAGTGAATCCTGGGAATCCTCATGTCTCCACCTCCTCGGTTTCAGACAATTCTTTATAGGGAGTTGACACATAATACTATGGGCGTTTGCACACCTTATGATCTTCTGGGGTAGTGACAAACTAGAGATCCAGGATATCAGATGGGGGAATTTTAGCCCAAGCTGGCCAGCTCAAGAAAACCCCAAGGAAGACCGTGGTTTTAAATCTGAAGGTCATTAGACAGGAAGAGTTATCCTTTACTTGTAGAAGGGCCAGCATTCGGGTTTTATAGATCCCCAACGCAGGTGGATTCTTTACCAGCATCTCATACCATTGGTCATAGGACCAAGTCAAAGGTCCTAGTAGGGCTATTCGTATCCCCCCCAGTCAGTTCTAAAGGCTAGAGAGTCACATAGTCACATTTATCTGGTCCCAGTTCTCGGCCCCAGTTTTTAGTATAACTTACTGCTCACATTGTTACAACAAAGGCCCCAACGGAATACCACAAAGAAGAAAGGTGTCTATTGGTTCACAGTTTCAGAGAGCTTTCAGTCCATCATGGAGGGGAAAAGATGGTGATGGGGTAGCTGTCCATGGTGATGGACATATGTGGCTGATGCTTGCTCATGTCAGAACAACCAGACGGAAGGCAGATGGAGCTGCTGGAGCCACGGTGGACACAACCTTCAAAGTCCCATCCGTCCTATGTCCACTTTCCAGGTTCCACCACCTGGAGTCTCCCAGTCTTCATTACAATACCACAGGCTGAGAAACAACCACTCAAAACATGAGGCGATAGGAGTGTTTCAGATTCAAACCATCACAGAACATCAGCCTGAGACACAATGCAGTCATGCCAGCTGAGACCCTTGCATCATCCATCACGTGAGCTCAATGGACCATGACCAAATTCCCAGATCAACAAAACAGTTTGCGGCTATGGTCAGCTCCACAAAGGAGGTGAAGAGAGGCTGAGAGAGAATAGTGGAGAGAGGAGAAGGGATCATTCTTCGGGGATGAGGTCCGGGCAAGTTCCCAGAAGACACATCAGTAAAAGGATTGAAAGAGTGGGCCATGGAAAACATTCCATTCCAGGCAGAGCAAACTTCTGAAATGCAGAGCCCTCATTGGAGAGAGATCGTGGTGTGTGCCAGGAACTGCTGGGCAGAGCAGCAGAACTCGGGCTACTGACCCATGAGACAGAATACCTGACAGAACGAATTCTCAGGAGTCTTCCACAAAGGTTTATAACATTAGTTATTCCTTTCCATGTTCCCTGCACTAACTGCCCTCCCATTCCCCGCCCAGTTAACCCTTACTATTCTGTAATCCCCTATAGATGGAGTTTCTGTCCTACCTGGTTCTGCAGCCATTTAGTCCCAAAAAACACATGGAGAATTAAACAGTTTTGGTCTGTTAGCTCAGGCATATTATTAACTAGCTCTTACAACTTAAATTCACCCATAACTCTTAGCTATGTTTAGCCACATGGCTTGGTATCTTTTATCAGTGAGGCATTTTCATCTTGCTTCCTCTAATTCTGGCTGGTAACTGCAGATTGAGCCTTTCCTCATCCCAGAATTCCCCTAGTCTGGTCACCATGTCTATACTTCCTGCCTGACTACTGGCCTATCAGCATTTTATTAAACCAATACAAGGGACAAATCTTTACAGTGTACAAAAGCATTATCCCACAGCGATTCCCCATCCCCCTTCATACCACCTGTTCTATCACCATTCCCTTGAAATCTCATCCCTAGGTGAGGAAGTGTTGGCCACTCATAGCTACTGGAGGAGAGTCAGTTTTCTTCAGAGACACCGCCTCTGAGAGGCTACTCATGCTCCTATAGATGGTCCCACACCCAGGCTCATGCAGACAGTACCAAGCAGACTCAGACCCAGTGCGTTTGAATTTCAAGGGCACATGAAATTAGTTAGAAGGGAAGAATGGTAGAGAAATGGGAAGGAATGGGGGGTGATCAAAACACATATTCATGTATGAAATTCTCAAACAGTGAGAATAAATGTTTGGCAGAACTTAATGAGCATGTTTTTTTAGTTCTTACACTGATGTCTGAGAAGATGAAAGTGATTCTAAGAGCCAGGTATCAAAGAAGATGTGAGACATTATCTTAGTGACCCAGGAGCTAGGGATTTTATTTCATGAAAGGATACAGTAATTGAGGTCTTGGGTTCAAGAGAAAGGGTGATAAAAATAAAAGCTCCACGTGATGTCAGGATGCTGGACATGCTAACACTACCCACCCCATAAAAGATGGTGAAGAAATGACTTAAACACTCAGTGTAAGCTCCAGCTGTCACACAGTATCTAGAATCACCCATAAAGAGCAAGTCAGTGAGGCATTGTCTAGTTCAGTTGGCTTATGGGCATGCCTGTAAGGGATTTTCTTAAGTTAATTGTTATAAGAGGACCCAGCTCACTGTGGGCAGCATAATTCCCATGGTGGTGGTGGCTGTAGTGGTGGTGGTGGTGGTGGCCATGGTGGTGACCATGGTGGTGGCGGTGGTGGTGGCTGTGGTAGTG